CCCTAACACCCAATGTTACAGACCTTAGTTTTCAATCCAGACTGGCATCTGCTGGAAATCAATCAAGTGGACCCGATAGTGCTGGATGATTTTGCACAAAAAGGGAGTCAACGAGTATCTGTTGACGTCGAGCAGCGTCCGTGGCCGGCCTTGTGACCGCGGAACTTCAGCAGAAGCCTGGCACAGCACTACAGCAGCAGAACCTCTCATCATCTCTCATCATTCTCATCTTAGAAATGGTTCTCTCACTGCCGAAGTCACTGCCCCATTCATGGCATTGTGCATTGTGCTCAAATCCCAGTGAGTCACTTAGTAACAGTGCTGAGACTCATCCTTTGCATACTCCGAAAACCAAGGTGTAATATATATATATAGCCCTCTCAACATCTCAGCATTTGCTCGTACCGTCGTGAAACACTCTGCAGGGATCTACAGGGTTTGGTTTCGTCAAGGCGGCAGCTGCACTCATAGTCGCTGCAGCGCCAAATGCACACCTGCCAAAACGAAGGCATAACGTGCTGAGCCCGTCAACAGTGTAACATTCCACTACATTCCACCCTAGACTACTGGTTCAAGGCTATCAAAACGGATGCTCCTGTGCTGAACAATGCCCATTGCTGGCATTCAATCTGTCCCGTTTTCTTCCACGCATATGGTCCAACGATGGATATCAATGGCGCAACACCCTGTCTTCTCAGTCTCCCCATCCTCCCCGGAAAACCTGGCCATCGCTGCTGCCAGTGATGAGGCTGGGACCCCAGAACTGCACTGCTGCGACCGAGTCCTGCCGCGCAAACGTTTCGATCCCAGACAGGCCGGTCAAACAGGCCGGTGGTAGAGAGACCCGGCATGTCAAACGAACCGGAAGTTTGCTTCAATCAAGATATATAAGTGTAATCGTTGATATGCGGTCTGGCTTCACAGGTTCAGGTTCTCGGTGCTCTTTGACAGTTCAGGTACTTGCTTCACTAATTATGCCAGGTCAATGTCCTTGTAGCAAAAGGTTTTCTTGACAAATGCGTGATGCTGCGTCGAACACTCTCCCTTTCTCCTCCTTTACAAAACAAGTTTGGTTGAAAGACTGACGTAGCAGTTCTTGCGAGACTCCGCATGCGCTTTCATTGACGCTGACATTCCTTTTCTGAGACTTTCTCGCAAAACTTATGCAGAATTCCTACCCGGAGACATGTTGGCTGACTACATTTCAAAAGTTGTGGCGAAGCTGAGCAAACTGATTTTAAGGTTACACTAACATGGAAGCTGTTATTACATTGTATGTATTTATAGATACACATATATAATCATATATATATATATTGAAACTACGTATATACATGCATTTACAAATGTGGAGGATTGGTTCGATCTTTGGCTTCTATGATGTGGCAACCTGTAACATTGGACAGTTAATGATGTTGTTGACAATTGCAGGGTGATTGGTGGCAAACCACTACTCGGCAATCGATGTAAATGTCGATTTTGGATCGCGGTACACACTTTTCAAGTATATAATATATATTAATAATGTGCATATGCTTAGGTTGTGGAAGTTAAACTTTCACTGGGATCGATCAAAATAAAACAATAGGCAAAAAGTCAAAACAATTGAACGGAAAGTAATTGAAAGGAACATAGAAAAAAACATAAACCAGGAATATTACAAAAATTCAAAAGTAAAGAAGCCAGAGTTTGTCTCAGCTCAGAAGCAGCTGATGAAAAAAAAACCTGCAAATCTCGGCAGAATCCTCGAACAAAATAGGAACAACATAGGAAACAGTTAGGAAAGAATTAGGAAACAAATAGGAACAAATTGAACAACAAATAGACACAAATCGAGAAAACATAAGAAAACTGGGGACACCCTTACCGTCTTATTTTCACTATTTGTTGGTCCTATTTTGTCCTTTTGTGTTCTGCCTTTGTTTCTGTTGGTTTTGCTCAAGCTTCATATTCTGGCGCAACATAAGCATACACATTAGTAATGTCTGAGACAGTAGCCCCAAAACAAATGTAGATCTGAATCCACTGAACACAAAAAAGCATCTTATAATAATATCTCGATCTATGGGACAACTCTGCTATTGCCTCACGAGGAACAACACCAAATTGCATCCTTTGGATGCGGCCAGCCTCGTGCTCTTGAAGCTCGCCCATCTCGACCCCTTTGGCCAGGTCGAACAAGCGGACCTCGAATGAAAAGACCATCACGCATGATAGGTGATCGGAGTGGGCTGCGACGGTTTTAACCCGAAAGAACAGATGCTTCGGCAAAGTCCAAGAGCAAAATAACATCATGTACTATACCACAATTAGATTGTCCATGGGCCATGGGTGTGCCTTTGACCCACAGGAAGCTGCGTATGTGTGTGCTGCTACACTAGGCACTCCCTGCAGCATTGTCCGTGGCCCCAGTCGCCAGCTTGCCATCCTGCCAGTCAAACATCAACGGTCAGCTATTGCAACACATCCAGAGTCCGTGGTGCATGTTCTTGGTAAAAAGGTGTCCATTGCAAACCACCGTCATTTTTATGGGTGTTCATGTTCGGACAGTACTTCCAACCAACACGAGAATTTGCTCATGGAAACAAATTTACAAATGAGCCAAGCGAACCACGGTCCCAAATTGGATCAAAGGGTATCAAAACGACGTCTCTTTGAGTCTTCCGAATGGTGACCACAATGTGATCGCTCGGACATCACAGACAACAACGAGCTATCCTTCCACCTTGGTCACCTAGGTCCGTAGTCATCCTTGATTGCACCTTGGTCCCAAATGACTGCCTGAACGTGTTGGCATCAAATGCCTGGTACATAATTTTTATACATTGATAAAAAAGATGATAAAAATTGCTTCATGCTGCTTCCACTGATCAGCCCCGTGAAACCTCGTCCTCCACTGGGTTTCCTTGGTCCTTTACCCGTGGCCCCTGCCTGAGTACAATGCAATGCCTTGACGCATCCCACATGGGGTGCATAGCCGAATCGCTGCGCCTGGTTGACCGTTCTGCGGCTCCAAATCTCTGTGAACTCAGCACATGTGCTAGGGCCAAAACCTGGTAGAAAGGCTATTAAGCTATTAATTACAGGATACCGGATGGTTGTAATTCCAACTGAACTATGCATTTGAGGGTGTTGGTCGTGACTCACTTGTGTGTTTTTTTGCTGCACATGCCCTTCGAATCCCTTCGAGACCCTTTGTGCTCCAGATAGGAAGCCTTTTCGCCTTAAGATGCCTTAAGTAGGAGAATGGAACTCAGTCTTACTCTCATGTTCAAAAAAAATTGGTTCCTGGCAAATTGGCAGTCTGGCGTGATTCGAGGCAACATTGGACCCTGTAGCCCGTACATGCTGGCGGTCGTCAAAACAACCCGCCCACGATGGAAGCCCTTTCCACATCTTTCCACGAAATGCTGGTGGGGAGCCAAACAGCATCGAACCAACAAAGCTATACAAAGCTGCACTGACGAAGTCGAAGAGGTTCCAACATGCAGCCCTAACAGGCCTCAACAAACCGTTGGATTCATCGGAATCATGTACTCTTTTCGACAACTGAAAGAATCCAACAGGATCAACAGGTCTCACCGAACATCCGGAGAGTCGAGACCCTCGCTTCCTGGGTACCTGACAACCCGGATGACTCCGTGCTTGACCGGCTGTGGAGCCGTGCGCCATCTTCCAGACCAAAGCCCAAAAGACCTCCGTCGTACCTGCACGGGAACTGCTGGGGCGCGCAGAACTCGGTGGTCTCGGCGATCCAAACCTGGAGCCCTGCACCTCCGTAGCTTGCTCCTAGTAGCGATGCCAGGAGCCCCTAGTAGCGTCCTTGCTCCTAGTAGCGATGCCCTTTGCTCCTAGTAGCGTTCTTGTTCCTAGTAGCGATGCCAGGAGCCCCGTAGCCTGGTGCCAAGACATGCCAAGACCCACAGCCATTTGAATGTCATCGTCCTGACGACGAACCACACAGTGCGACGCAATCGGCGATGACGAGCCATCCAGAGCCAAAGCACGTGCCCACGACCACGGTGGCAGTCGTGTCCTGCTCTTACAGTGCAGACAAGGAGTCAATAAGACAAAAATCATCTGCAAACATTTAAGTTCCGAATGAATTGACTTCTTTTAACCGCCTGCGGTTGAAAGCCAGAGCTCCAGAAATCTGCGGGTGGCCGAATCCAGCTACTCCTGCTGTCTTTGCTCTTCCGGCAGTGCTTTCCTGTCATGTCGGGATGGCCTGGAGTGATAATGCTGTATGTATGCTCATTAGATCTATCTGATATCAGGATCTGACAAATCTAAAGATAACATGTGGAAAACAAGAGTGCAAGAAGCAACAACTCTGGCAGCAACACATCGCGGCACGGGATGCAGACCAACCGGTGGTCTACATGTCATGCTCAACGTGTGGAAACCGACTTAAGACTCGAAAATCCTTCACTCATAAACTATGGGCCTGTAAAACCACAAAACAAACGGCACAAACGGTGGTCTCAGGTTGTCTTGCTTTGAACTAGGGTCCAAAATCTGCTATGGCATTCCCGTGACTAAGAGTGAGCATCCAAAACGCTCAAATCTCAGGCAGAAAAACTGGTGATGGGATAGTGGCAAAGGATGGTTGGGAGATGGTCGAGGATGCAACGATCTTTTCGCGATGCAAAAGCTCAATGTGTTGGCGGCCAGGCCAACTCGAGCCGATGGCTGCACAAGTCATGCACACTCATGTCAGAATGAACCCCGAAAAATGCATCTGACAAACTGAAAGCAATACCGTGGAAGTGCATCATGCAACCATGTTGAGAGAGCAGGTCCACGGTTCAGTGTCAATGAAAGGGTGTGGCAGTTTGAGAATTCCGACAAACCCGTTCTTTACCCCTGATCTCACACCTATTCTGAATAGGCTCAGGCTAATTATACTCACAATCATCCAAAGCCTGAACTTGCCCGAGCTCGTCCCACCGGTTGGCTCGACCCGTCGCGGCTTTTTGCGACGCCCGAAAAGCGCGGGCTCAGATCCACCAAAGCAGAAAGAGAGGCAGCACTGCCATGGCCAGGTGTTTTCCTAGGCCAATCCAATTGGTCAGGGATATGGGTACAAATGCATCAAATGTTCATCAATTTGCCAATGTAAAACATTGAAATTTGAAGACCCTCATTGGGCGTGTTTTGAATATCGTCTTCATTGAGCTCGGACATCTTGATCCAGTGATCCCCCCTTTGACATTTGAGAAACGAATCCCTGGCTTAGGCGACAGATACAAGTACAAAGGTCTAGTCAACATGATAGGTTCTCTCGAAGGAAGAAGGGTGCAAGTCAATGAACATCCAGATGTATTTGAAGCCAACCCGACATTTTAAGTCTGCTCCAAATATCCAGACAGTATATAGTATAGAGTACTGTCATCAAGATTCATCAAGTATGCTTGTTCTTACAGCAACAGCTGGATCATCCCTTTGCCAGGCATCCACTTCCCCTGCCATGATCTGGGCGGGCGTTTGCGCTGCAAGTACAAAGTCCTGGCTTTAACCTGCCGTGTCAGAGCGCACAAAATCTCTGAGAGCACACCCACGTGTAACTTGACAATCTAGGAGCAAGGACGCTACTAGGGGCTCCTGGCCTTACTACTAGGATCAAGAAGCTACTTGACATGTCACAGCATATCACATATGCATCCATCACCTGCGGCCGTGCATGGTCCCCGTCCAGACCTCTTGGGAAAGATATGCGCACCATAGAAGTCCTTGCATTGTTGATCTTCACCACCCAAGAAGAGGCCCTCCGGGCAAATGCATCTCTTCTGCTGCTTGTCCTTGATACTTGACTTGACAGGCAGTAACAGTCAATTGACAAAAACTAAAACACGTTATTCATTACTGGTTGCGCATGCTTCCACACCAAACCGACTTGGTGGAGGAAATGAATCTTGTGTCACTCTCATGATTGTTGGAAGGAGGAAGGGTATATCTGCTCTTTTCATGTCTTACCCCTTAGAAACGGCAAACGTTTCTGGGCCTCTTGCCTCGTTCACACAAAGTCCACTGGACTGATGGATCAACATGACTCTTTGTGGGGGCATGTTTGTTCATTTTGTGGAACGTGACTCCAAACGTTGCCTCTGTCAATAGTCTCATTAGGCATCCTCCTGGGATGACAGCCTTGTCTTCTGAAACGCCTGGTCTTTCACGTGTCTTGAGTCTCTTGCCTTAACTGATCCCAAATCCCAAGCTAAGACTTCCTGAAGTTATGACTCAGAGCTCCAAGCTCCAAACGCTTCAGCACCACCAACTGAGTTGCGGACCGTCTCAACTGCTCCATGTGCAATCTCACTGCAGTCATACTCAACGAGATTCGCTCGATGGCAATAGCACTCCTCCGCGGAATTCTGCAACCAAATCTCCCGAAGAAAAGCAACAGGTGTCCAACCCCTGGGCCTTGCAGTATCCCCATGCTTCTAACTGAATCCCTGAATGCAGGATTGTTGCATTACTCAAATTCTGGATCTAGAATCTAGATGCTACAGTATGCTTCCCGGCACAGCAGCCTAAGGGAATCCAATGCAAACATGTTTAAACTGAAATCAAGTCAAGTAAGCTTGATTACTTCACCAATGAGATCATTTGGTCTCCCATTGGTAAAGACTGCCAACGTTTTCCAAAAGCCGCGGCATACGGTCACCCGCATTGCGGGTTAAAGACCTACACCCTATGTTTTGGTCTGGCTTACATAATTCAAGAGACCCAAAGACCTGCTCGCCTTGGTCCTTGGTCTTTTCTTCCTTTACTTTGGATGGTGCCAGGTTTTTGAGACACTGCCACAGCCGCTAATCTTTGCCATAAAAATACGCCACGACTGACAGGTGACCTAACGATTGAACACTGGCACGATCGAAAACACGCCTTTCACCCCCCCAGTCGCTACCTGGGGTGGCAAAGTGTTGGGGAAGTACCGCTCTCCAAGGAAGACTGCACACTGCGGCGCCTCGGGAAGGAATGGAAGTATTGTGTCATGGCGGTTGCCTGCGATCGGGTAACAACCAGGAATACCCGTTCAGATCAGCAAAAGCGCTGTGGAAACACCATCTCATCCTGAAAGCTCGGAAAACAAGAGCCATTCATGGGCCGTTGCACCTAACTGGGATCAGAAGGGTGCATTTCACGAGGAATAGAATTAAATAGAATTAATATGAATTAATATTAATTAAGAGAATTAATATTAATTAAGAGCTTCACCACCTGTGCAACTGCGCCTTGAAAAGAGCAAATCTATATACTACGGTAAAATCCTGCAGGCGGGCACCTTGCCCTCCAAAACAAAGTCGTGGTCTTCACACTTGCAGGGCCTGCTGATCCAGAACAGGATGGAACAGTATCAATTGTCACGGCACAGTGGCTGTTGGAGCACAGCTCATCACAAACAAATTGCAAGTCTTCAACTCACTGCGCCTGTCCGGATTCTTTTTGTAGGAGTTCCTTTGCTTGGCACCTGAACGAGGTTGCATAAATTGTGCGGCAGGGATTCTCCGTGCGTGCTTCTCTCCTACTAAACTCTCACTAAACTACCGGTCCTTCCCATTCCCATTACCCCAACTCAACAGTCGTTGCTCTGAAGAGGCTCATGGCTGCAAAGTTGTGAGAGTCGAATCGTCCAAAATCGAAAACAGGGGACCCTGTGAGGCCTCTCAGGGAACATGGTCGATACTGAGTATCCCATGATACCTTCACTCCCAGAGAAACGAGACAACATGTAGTGCCTAGTACCATACTCTCGCATTCGCTGGTTGCTGCACCTCAGCTGCCAAGACCGACGGCACACCATTTGAAAGGGTTTGAAGCCTCACGGTGCCCTGTACCTTCTTCTCGATTGTAGCTTCTTGCTGTACGCGATAGATACAGCTGGCACGGTGACAGCAAAATCTGTTCAGACTCAGGTCCTCCTAGAAACTGAAGTTTCCAAAATATCTAGGAACCAAGTCATTAGTGCGAGCGCTATCCTGCGTCCTGTCGGCAGTAACTACTTAATAAGCTACTAGCTACCTCTTCTACTAGCTACCTAGCTGCTAGCTACTACTAGCTACCTCTACGGCCTACCCGCCCAAAAAAAAAAGAACTTAGGCAACTCTTGTTAGCTAGTCCTTTGTCAAACCACTTTTGCCTGAGTGGACCTGCAAAGATCTCATACTTGCCTTTAACTCCGTGAGCAAGGCTGTACACGTTCCTCTATGAGATGCTTGAAAACAACATGTCCAACCTTGGACTAACCTCAAAGATCCTCAAACGGATTCCCACCAGTTTGTGAGCTGAAAAACCTTTCCGAAGGATCAACTGGACTCAGAACATTCGACTATTTAATTACTCTATTTCTGGACTCCTCAGGATTCTCAATAAGACTTGGAGCTTGATTCTCGCGGTCGGAGCATCTCCGAGATGACCATCTACATTTAAATAGACTGTATCGTTATTTGTTTATTCAGTCCGAAGTTCGAGCCAAACACCCTCAAAAACCGTGTTCGGCCCCAGTGGCAGTGGCACTTCGTTGGCCCAATCTTGCTGCTAAACTTCTGCTTCCCCAAGGCATCTTTGCATTCCCACGACTTTCCAGCCTGCAACGATGTCCGGAAGCAGCCGTTGTTGGTGGAGAAAACCAGTGACCGAGTCACTGGTGTCCGCTGATGGGACGGACCGCGGGTGCTGCGCTTGGTTTTTCGGGTCACCCAAAGTTGCGAGGTGTGCAGCCCAAGAGACCAGGCATGACCAGGCCATGCGGAAGTAGATGGAAGTAATAACTAATGTGTGAGGTGAATGGTATATATCCTGAAAATTTGGAGAATTGAGAGGGTCTGTGATGGTCTGTGTACCAGTGTACCTGCTGCAAATCCTGGTCCGTCCTGGTCTTTGTTTCGACTCGAAGCCTCAAATTGTTTCATGCCGGTTCCAGCCAAGTTGCCACCACATATCCTGCGGGACACTTGCAGTCTCCACCGAACCAGTGCGACCTGCCACAGTGTCAAGTGCTTTCAGTGGTGACCCCTGAAACCAGTCTGGGGTTCCTTCATGAGAATGAGTCCTGCCCAACGCACTTACCAGTGGCCCCTCTAGAGGAACGGTGGAACCACCCTCTTCTCACTGGCCACTCCAGGTGGATGAAAAGCGGTGGACCGGATGTCCACCCTGCCGGCCCACGCGCCTTTCTCGGTCCTCGGCACCCGACACCACTTGACTGCATGGATGCTTCTCCTGCGGTCGGGGTCGTTCGGGGAGGCCGCGTGAGGCCGGGTGCGTGCCGCGTGCCGTGTCCTCGCGTACCGCGCGGATTTCGCGCGAGGGGTTCTGGCGAATTCTGGTGCCGCTCCATCACGGAATTGAGACTGACTGGTTTCGTGGTTTTTTCATGTGTGTTCCACGAAGGAAACAAATTCGACTCTTTCAAACAAATCAACACAGCCAATGTGCATGCCAATTTCAGTAGCCAGGGAAGCGCCAGGCCATCCGGGCTGGCCAACCACACCGTCCACTGGTTCCCACTCCTTCTTCTTGGATGTCGTCGCATCCAAGGACGTCACAGATCTGTTGCTCACCACAGCCTGGCGCCACGCCGGCGACGTCTGGCACGGTGACCATGAGAGAAGATACAATACTAAGCAATATTTATATACTGCCGTACATCTTGTATCATCTTTTGCGTATAAACTATTAATACATATAGCTGCTTGTGGCAGGGGCACAAAATGTTTTGACTTGTTTGGTATGATGTGGTATGTGTCTTGCCTGCAGCGACGCTGACCATCCGAGTGGGTTCATGACTGGCTACAATCGTTCAATATCACTGCCATCCAAGGAATATGTCACTCGCTATGATCACTTCAAGCGGCCTGGTCTGATGAAAGTCTTTGTCGAGAGAAAAGGCCTTGCACATCTGCCAGCGAAATGCCTAAGTCATTTGGCTGGCAACGTCCATTCCATGACTGCTGGATTGATGTTTTGTGTCCAATTTCTTACGGGCAGAGAGAGGGATTTCACCAATGAAAAAAGATGAAAAAAGTGTTCGAACCCTGCGTCTACTTTCGGCAGGCCAGCAGGCCTGTTGGGAGCGACTTGTCCTGTCCAGTTGCATGTAGAAAGAATCAAAGCCAAACTAGCTACTAGTAGCTTCTTGTTCCTAGTAGCGATGATAGGAGCCCCTAGTAGCGAACATTGTTCCCATTCATGGGACGGGAAGAGTTGAGATCCATGAATCCATCATTTACCCCATGACCCATTGATTTTATATGTACGATTATGTACGTATCTCTCCAGTCCCATGGATGCCATAAAAAAGGGAATGCGACACCTCGGGCCCACCACCCATCCCTGCCAAAGAGCGCGAGGCCTCAAGACCTGAGCCGCAAAGGTCTAGGGCCACTCCGCATGTTCGCTCCCGTTCGCGGGATTGAAACAGAAAAAATGATCCCGGCCCCTAAGAACCCCTAAGTGTGTCCACACTGTTTGGGGAATGTTTCATGTTTGCCAACCGCTCCGGCCCACAGAGCTCCACAGAGCTTGTGAAGTCTCGCTGGTGCCAATTTGTCCGAGATGGCCGGACGGACGGGAAGCCCAATGGACCCATGCAAGCCGGGAGCGGGATGTCAACTCAGTGTCGACTCAAAAATCTTTAGGAAGTCACACCAGGGCGGATGCAAAATTTGAAGCTTGATAACAGTGGGCTTCACATTAGCTAACAACTCTGGGACTCAGCAGCTACTCAGTTGCTCCATGGGAACGCAGGAAAATATAGAAAAAAGGCACTTTCAAAGGCTTACGCACTCTCGTTACATGCTCCCTGTGTCAGCTGTTAAGCCTTACTAACACCCCCAAGCAAAATGTAATTCAAGTTCAAGCTCGCACAAAAATCAGGAGCCCCTCTAAATATACTTAATACTATAGCATACTATTAGCCAATGTGCAAAGAAACACACAACCACCGGCCCCTTTCGTGTGCCCTTCCAAGCTGCCATGTAGAAAAGACAGGAGACACAGCAAGCGCATGGCGTCAGATTTTTCAAACAACTAGCTACTCACGGCTAGTCGGAGCCAACTTGCAGGTGCAAGATATCCACATACATCCACACACCGTCGTGCCGATGTCCGACCCACATGATGATCACGGCATTGGTGGGTCAAAGAGCCAAAGAGAAAGCTAGTTTTCACACACGGGCTTCACTAGCAAACTCCACATGGGTGTGGCATGGTGCGGCTCCATACCTGAAGTATTGGGAACCACTTCGCAACTCTCTCGCACGGCGGCATACGGGTCTATAAGTCAATGTTGGAGCCTATCCCTTTGGAGGCACATCGGCAGTAGGTTGGAGGCCATCGCTGTCAGATTGAAGGCCATTGCTCTAAGGCGGTTGGAGGCCATTGCTATTAGGGCCATTGCTATCAGGTTGGAGGCCATTGCTATTGGGGCCATTGCTATTGGGGTGGAGGCCATTGCTGTTAGAAACAAAGAAAAAAGAAAAGGAACAAAGCTGTATATATTATATATAAATTATTTAGTTTGCTATTGGGTTGGAACCCACCTTTGGAAGCATGGCTCCAACACGGCTCGCCGCCAACACGCCACGCCCGAGCGGTGTTCGATCGCCTGGAACAGCTAGGACCGTCGCCTGGCACCGGAAGACTGGTTCGATGGCAGATTGTCTCAGACAGAGGAGTCCTACATAGTTCTATAGTATTTACAATGAGTGGGTCCTCGACCAAAGATACATGGATGTTTGCTTGGATCTGATGATGCATGTGCGACAAGTCTCAAGGTGTAAAAATGGCCAGCAAGAGATTGGACATGTTTCGACTTTTGCCTTCCACATGCTTTGACATTTTGAGATAAGCAGTCCCAGCGCAGTAAGAATATGTTGGCTTTGTCTCTTCCCTTCTGCCCCAAGCAGTTTGAGCTCCTCGTCCGCCCTTTTGGTCTGGTCTGTTAGTCCCGTCAGAATCGAAACTGTGACCTACCTGTGCCAAAGTCTTGTGCTACCACTGGCGTGCATGCATTGAAACGTATTTGTGAGCATTCCTTCCCTCACATCGTGTCTTTCAATTCACTCAATGCCCAGAGTTGGGCTTCATCTAGGAAGTCGCTCCTACTTTAACATAGTGACTAGTGAATTCAAGGAGAGTGCAGTCTCGGTGCCATCCTCCAGCTTAATCTCTTGTGGAGCATGGCATTTCATCCGAACAAACAAGTGGCATTTGTGGGACTCCAAATCTACTGTATGGCTTTCTCACAGTTGAGTCTGGGCCGCGCTTGAAAACCCACCAGCATTTGGACATCTTTGGACTATATGGGTCTTATCGCTGTCCACATGGCTTCACAGCATCACCATATTCCTCAAGAAGTGGTCTCTGTACAGTTCATGCGTATCATCAAGATTGCCAAGCAAATGCAATCTTCCACCAAACATCTCTCACAAAGCAGGCGCCTCAAACACTAGTCACTAGCGGCTTCTGGAAATGTCAATCTCGCTTACAGCTTCAGTTTGCAAAGCAACAAATGGAAGGTACTGGCACTGTGGTCCAATGTGTCCTCTTTGCCATTGACGCCAAATTTAAATAGTAGCCTGCGAGAAATGCGTGAAGAACATTTCAGCAATGAACCACTCCGAGCAGCGAGTGCCCAGAATGCCTTGCATTACTGATTTTTTCATCAATTGCTGAACTCGATTCGATCGTGATTCCTTTTTGTCAGTGGCGACATACGAAGGAGCATCCGAACCCAGCAAAGGGCATCGGTATGAGATGGTATGAGTATGTGTTGACCAATGCCATCTTTATGAATACATTAAGCGGCAAATAGCTAAGACCATCAACATTGAGCCACAAGATTACATGATCTCACCATGAATCGAGCTCCGGGTCCCTCCGCAAAAAAGTGCAACTTTCAGGGATCAGGGATTGCGGGATAGCTCAAGCTGATCTTAAATTGGTAAGCCAGCTGCAAGCAAGAGAGACAGTCATCGACCGATGTGGACCGATGATGTGTTTCTTTCCTCTTGTTGTCCGTGCATAATATGCACCCGATTGATTGTCTTGGAGTTGTCAGAGGCCCAGAGAAGGGGACCCATAAGCATCCTGTAACTGAGGTGTAAAGCGAAGCCTCCTATGCACATAACAGTCCAAGCAATTGCCCAACCAGCCCAAAACACATCGCACTGAATAGGTGCCCTCTTTCGTGAGTAGTGCCACATAGTATCGCTATCATATAAACAGCTCGTTTACTCTTACCGCCTTTTGCCATTTTGCATGTCTTCAATTCCTTTGACTTGGCCGACTTGGCCCACATACCATGCTGTGAAACGGTCACTGTTCGGTTGCACCGTGCTGTCTCCCACAGCGAAAAAGCGACGCTTTCAAAGCTCTAGAGCTGCAGCGTCTCTGTCTCTTTCAGCGTCTCTTCCTGCGCCTCCTGCGCCTCGCTCGCATTGAGCGTGGCTTTCGCCACATCCAGCAAGACTTGGGCAGGTGGATCGTCTGTCTCAGCCAGCAGCATTTGGACCTGGGTGCTGTTCAGCATTCGGGAGTTGATGGATTGGGTGATTGGGTTCCACTCCTTGAAACCTGAAACACATCAATCATGATCAATGGAGGAATGGACATTCACGATAAAGTCACCATCCATTTTAACGGATGTTATATGATTTTATACCTTGACTCTACAGCTGGCTGATGCCTTGCCCACAACTCCGGTGGGCACATTCAACATGTTTCCGCTTCGATCACCGAGTCTTTGGGAGTCGGTATGACAAACACCAAGTACGTCCAACAACCTGCATGGTGGCCATGTATGAATGGCCAGATGAATAGGATTGAATAGGGTGAAAGGATGTGTCAGTCATGTGTTGATAGGCATCGTTGTGGCGGGACTAGAGGATCCCGGACCAGCTCGATACAGAGCGGAATGCGTCCTTCGTGAAAAGCCTGCCAGGGATGAAGAATGAACTGCATTCCATGGCGGTGACGTTCTGCGAAAACTCTGTCGAACTCTGTTGCACCTGTCGGTTTAAAAGACACGTGGAATCGAAGGTTAAGACCGGGTGTCAGGCAACAATTGAGAGAACTGATTTGGGCCCCAAGTCGATAGAACGGAGACTGATTGGGAGACAAAGCACCAAACTGAAACGCCTGAAATCGTTTTCGAGCATTTTCATGGGCTCTCAACCGGAGCAGCAACTGAACTTGGGGAATCTCAGGGATATCTTCTCACATCCAATGCTGCACAAGGCCTGCCTTCAAGGCCCTTTCATATTGTCCTGCGCTTGGACACCACAGCATTGAAAACGTCAGGTTCGGTTGAGCTCCAGTTTTGTTGCACCCATCAAAAAAGGAGCAGAGGCACTGAAATAATACAAAGCTCACATGAGGTGACAAGGTACTCGCTTCTATGTGCTTCACAACTCTGTTCCAGGTAGCTTTTCATCAAGCGATGTGCCACATGAATTGGTAGAAGTCTTGGTGACTGGCGGCTGTACTGTTGCCCAAGGGCAGAACGACGCTGTCTCAAAACACATGGAAGGTTGTCCTTCTCTCCGACACACCCACGAAACCATGAAACGGAATACCATGGTCATGCAGGTGAATGCAGGTGGAGACCAACCAGTTGATGGACAACATCCGCAGGTGTTCACGCAAACGGTGTGGGTGTACCTCCTTCTAGACGGTGTTAAAACAAGCTGTAGAATCTGTAACATTCAACACTAAGGTTCCAGCATCATGATTCTTATCACGATTCTAAGATTCTAAGAAAATGTTCACCTGAAACCACTCAGGACAACATTCAATTGCTTCATCATTCTGCTGTCCGGTAAGCACTTGACTAGCACGTCGCCTGGCCAATTGCCAACCAGTTTTTGCTACAGTATTGGGTCCGATCGGATGGTTCGGCGCGTGCAGATGCTACACCTGATGGTCCGATTGGGTGTTTGGATCGTTTTTTGGTGCACGCAGGGTTTTGTGATGCACGAACCAGATGATCGGGGGGTGGGGAGTGGTGGTTATGCTGTCATAGGCCATAGGTATCATAAAACTTATCGGTTTCAAAGAACTTGTCATCGAGTAGTCGTGTGATTAACATGGGGTGGGGGTCGGGGGAGGGATGGTTTCGTTTTGTTATTGTTTATGTCAGCGATGACATGATATGTGACGTGATTGTAATGATATATGCGAGGAACCTAATGCTTCATTGTGTGTTTTTTCCATTGGAGTTGAAGTTTAGGGTCTTCAACACCAAAAATGAACCTTGCAATGTGTCCACCTTGCCCAAATACTGCGTGCACCAACAAAACAGCCCTGATCCTCGAATTCCAAGCTGTTTTACATCAAAAAGGAGGTGCCGCGAACCACCCGATCGGCGCGTCCTAAAATTTTGAGTATATGAGCCAAGGATAGCCAAGGTATATAGTATAGTATACCTTGGCTTGGTATCGAAAAACTAGCTGTGAAATGATGTCTGGCTTCCTTCTCAGTGAGTGATCAAACGCCCTACGTGATCCTATGTAAGGGCGTTGGGTTAGCTTGCAAAGTTATCCCACAGGCCAAAAGTTGAGGAATGCGTGGCATTGGCAACCCAGTCTGAGGCTGACTTTGTTGTACACAGCGCTTGACATCGCTTGACTGTGAGTGACTTTGAGCGGTCCAAATCGGTGGCCTCATCCCAACAGCGGAACCATAGAAATCATAGACATCAATCAGAATTCCAAGGATTCATGACGACCGAAATCACTCCCCAACGAAACGACCGAAGTTCTCACTCCCACCTGTTCGATCCGAAACAAAAATACGGTACGGTCCGATGTGTCGGCGTTGAAGCTCTGTGACCTCGAAGAAGGGACACAGGTGACGGGCGGAGCGCCGTTGCTTTTTCATCTCACGAGATGGATGAATGCAGGAAGCGTGAAAGGAAGGCAGATGTTTATGTTCTTTTGTTTTAATCTGGTCCTCCTTTTGAAGAAAACCAAGATAAGACTTACATCATCGCAAGTCAAAGGACTTCA